CTGCTGACAGAGAGACACTATAATCCAAATGTGCGATAAACCTTATTCTATGTATAATAGATATCTTTGACAAAAGAAATGAAGGAGGCTTTGTCCGGTTTGTCCAAAAATTTAAACTTTAATAGGTACAGAAGAACACGCATTAATGTATTCGCGTTTCATCGATCGATTTTTTTTTCCAGGAAAGAGAGAAGTGAGATCATATATAAAATATATATAGTATCATTCATGATTCACACACACACACACACACATATTCCGTAGTTTTTTTATTTATATTCTGTGAGTACTCTTCTTTCTAAGTCGTCTCCCTGAGAGAAATTGGAAGCGATAGAAAAAAAGGCGCGCGCGCGATGAAAGACGAGTCTTGAAAACGCCTTAAAATACGAGAGAAAGTGAGAGGAGAAAAAAAAAACGAGAGAGAGAGAAACAGTCATCGTGAAGTATCGCGCGTTCGCTGAATGGTATCCGTTCAGTTTCCCATAACGCGATATTAAGACCTCATTAGCATGATAAACTCGACGGGACAGATACAATGGTGCCTTTCATTTAAGCACGCTTGCACGAAAACGCGAGCGCGAGCTTTCATCCACATAAATTCTGAATATATATATGCCAGGAATTTTTACGTACACACATCTTTATACGGCGTAATATCGCCCCGATCATTCATGCACCGTCTTTTTACGCATAGCATATGCAAATTTAATCTCCGTATATTATACATATAAGCGTGTTTTATATATTAACACAAGCAAAAAATATCTTTCACGATTTTTTTCTCTTATGTCTACATGCAAAAAAAATTTGGATCGAAATTTCTAATTGTTTGGATGGGATTTCCAAATCTTGGAACTTATATTAGGATATTAATAGTTGTCGGATATTAATATTTGAGTTCTTGGTTTTTCAGATTCACGGACGTTGAATTCTCCAGTTCTTACTTAATTTTTTTTTAGTCTATTGTAAATCCTCAAGAGCTCTTACTTTACTGTATAACACTGGATACTCGATTCGATCTCAAATAATTAATCTCTTGCATGATTTAGACCCGATTTCGATAATGTTAGACAATGTATCATTTGCGTGGAAAATTGTAAAGTGCATAAATGCCTGTTGCAACTGTCAATGTCAAGTCTAATCTTAAAGTGGATGCGCTTTTATAAGTATTATTGACAATCTTAGATTCGATCGTAGCGATGACGTCCAAGAAATCTTTGAATTAACCCCAATAATAATGTTATATCTCTCTTCGCTCTGTTATTCTTTCTCAAGTTTATCGGCCACACAATCTTGTCCACAATTAAATTAAGAATAAATCGATGCGTGATTTGGAGCTTTTCGACTAAAAACGATTACATCGATTTCTATGCGCACGCATTTACGTTGACAACCGCGTGTGTGCGAGGGATGGAAGGGAGGAAGGGAGACGTAGAATAGAGGGTGTAGGAAATACGGGTGTGGTTCGATCAATACGGACATCCCATAGATCTATCGGTGCGTTCGTATCGTCGGGTGAATCATGCTAAATTATTATTTTTCCTATACATTTTTATTATACAGACCGGGGGAAAATGTTTTGTCAGAAATTTGGAAATAAATTTCACGTGCTCGTTATATATACAGGGTGGCCCACCGAAAACGAAACAGGCGTGTTTTTTGGCATTTAACTTCTTGTTCGAAAAACGCTCGGACAGGTCAACTTTATTTGCAAGGGGGACATATTAATTGGCTATTTCCGTTCACCTAACTTTAACCCCAAAAGAGGGTTAATTTCACATAAATAAAAATTTTAAATTTTAAATGGTAAGAAGTGTCTAAAGACATATCATTTGAAAGTCTGATGAATTCGTTTTACAATAATGTTTTAATTTTTGAATTCCGATCATTACTTTCCAATAAATGCGCTTCAAAGAAACAGTATTATTAAACTAGCAACTTACGTGTCAGCATAGTAAATGTTGTAAATGACCATCACTAGCTTCCATAAAATAATAAAGATTCTGCTTAAAACATTATTGCACATTCTGGAGCATTTGTGGAGTGATTTGACGGCATTCGTTGACGATATGTTGTCGTAAATCTAAGAAAGCCGGTTAAGTTGCATAAATTTTACTTTTTAGGTGACCCCATCTTGTTTTAACAATATCAACAACCTGTAATGCCGTTTTTGTTGATAAGAAATTTATTTCCAGTATGAAAAAAGAAAACAAAAAGAAAAAATTTCAAATCGTTGGATGTTTTCGAACAAATGAGGTTAAATGCCAAAAAACACGCCTGTTTCGGTTCCGGTGGGCTATCCTGTATATATAATTATTATCCTTTTTTATCTCAACGCAATTTTA